GAGAAGCTCTCGAGCACGACGTCGACGGTGTCGACCAGGATCTCGGCGATGATGGCGTACAGAATGGTGGCTCCCAGCAGGATCACGGTGCTCTTGGTGCGGCTCCAGTTGGGCGCGTCATGGCCGTGACCGCCGGCGTGCGCAGTGGCCGCTCCCGCAGTGGCGGCATCTTCCTCGACGTCGGGGGCGTGGCTGGCTCGGCTGGCGCCGTGCGGCCGTGGCGTTGCTGGGCCGGCCGTGGACTGCTTGTGCGCGTACCGGTCGCGCGAGGCAATCGTGGCAGCCGTGGCAGCAATCTCGGCGACCTCGCGCACCAGGTTGTTGTCGACCTGGCTCAGGGCGGGTACCTTGGTCGTCGATCGCAAGGGCGGCTGCTGCTGATCTTCCTCGGCACCGCCCCTGGGCGGTACCACATGGGGGGTGCTGCTTGGTCCGTTGGCACCACCGGCTTCCTGGGCAGTCGTGGAGCTCGGGCGGGAGGCGTCCGGCAGGCCGACCTGCTTGAGCGACTGGCCCAGGATGCGCTTGTACAGGTTGGAATCGCGGATATCAGCCCCGGCGCCCTCGGCCGTTGACGGCTGGTGCGGCGGTCGAAGCGTTGCCGATGCGTGCATGGCCTCCTCGTGTCGCTTCTCCTCCACCTCGGAGTTCCAGATGACGGCTGCGTGCGTGCGCAGCGTGAACCACAGGCCGATGAGGTATGAGCAGAAGAGCAGGATGGCGGCAGAGTAACAGTACGGCCGCACGGCCTCGAGGTAGAAGCGGTCGTCAAGAGCAGGTGCCTGCGAAAAGTAGCACCGCCGGCAATCGCGTGCGGCGCCGCCCCCGATGATGCCGCCGTAGACATAGTCCTCGCAGTCCATGCAGTTCAGTTCATGCGTACCGTAGATCTGGTAGAAGAGCGTTGGGCCAAAGGCTCCGACAACGGCAAAGAGCAGCATCGTGGACGTCACGCCGGCCGACTTGGCGTTGAATCGCTGCGTCTTCCGTTTCAGGGCGCCGAAGCACATGGAGATGCCGGGCAAGAACAGGATGCCGGCAAATATGCTACCCACGATGCTTCCCTCGACGAGCTGGCCTTTGCCCTGGCTCAGTGCAACGCAGTAGAGGAAAACCTCGACGATGGTGGCGAAGAAGGCGTTGATGGCGGC